TCGTCTTGTTCTCTGCCTCAAACTTGAACACGTCTGTCAAAGGGTTTTTGACATCAATGTAAAGCCACCTGAAAACAAAAAACTACAGAAAGTGAAATTCAAGGATCAGTTTGAGCCGCTCTCGTCGTGTGTTTCTTTAACATGTTTTTATCCATGCTTTTTAACTCCACCTGGAACAGATCCAGGATCAGCCACAGCTGTTGTTAATGATGGAGACAGAGCAGGTCCAGCCTTCCCTCTGGTCACAGCTGTGTTAGACACTGCACTAATCTACACATATATATTATATATATACACATATACATACATATATATATATACATATGTATGTATTAGTCTTATAATCCTGTCGTGTTGGTCTTGGCTCACAGTTGTAAGGTTTCCCTCCAGTGTGAACGAGCCTTATTTATTTAACGACTCCATCATTCAGTCCTGAGTGACGAGCTGACGAGTCTCAAAGAGCAGAAGACAAACAAAACTACAGTATTTTCAAAACTGGATGGATGGACATCGTCCTACTAGTTTAAGTGGAATTAAACTGAAATTTACTTTATTTTCTGCTCTATCAGAGATTTGGGACAAAAACCGTTCAAGCTAAGCAGCTAATGTTAGCATGTTTGCAGCTAATGTTAGCATGTTTGCAGCTAGCGGCTGTAGTTTATCCATAATTTCAGATTAGCAGTAAATGAAGTCATGCTGTTTATCACATCGCACAGAAGAGAATTGTCTTTTCTTCCACATCACACTGTTGTGGTTTTGAACCAGCTGCAGCTGAAAGGCTCCTGTGTGAACCAGCTATAGTACTGATGTTTCACTGTTCACATGTTTCTCTTCTCCAGTGTGAAAGAGTCTTATTTATTTATGGAAGACGTTCTTCAGTGTGAATTCTCATGTGTAGAAAGCGGAGACTCTCCCACCTGGTCCCACCTGGTCACACCTGGTGCATCAGCCTCTGATCAAAGTGTTGGACTCCAACATGATGTTTCTGGAGGTTAAAGCTCAGAGTCTAAAACACATGAATGTTTGACACAAAGTCCAACATTCAGATTCTAGCTCGTCCAGAGGTTGATGTCAAAATGAGGCTAAACTAAAGGAAACAGACGTACCGGCTTCTCTCCAGTGTGAACGGGCCTCATTTATTTGTTTGTTAATGATCTAGAAACAACAGTTTATATTACTCATGTACGATGACTGAGTGACGGTGGATTATTCACACTGAAGCCTCTGAGCGGATCCATGTGCATGACCCTGGTTCTGTTTCTTTTGTCTCATATTAAACTATATATAATAAACATAATGTAAACACATTTGTATGGCTTCTCTCCAGTGTGACAAGAGTCATGTTGTGTTTGGACGATAAACCTGGCTTTGGTCTGACACACGGCTCACACGGACGGTGGTAAGTGGACTGACTGTAAACCGGTCTGAGGTCTGGACTCGGGACTTGGTGCCGGCACTTCCTGCTTCAGGCGACGACGGTGGTTGTTACGACGCAGCTCAGACCGATTGAAAGTCTACAACACCATCAGAATGTTGTGGCTACAGCCGACAAACCACTGTTTACAAAAACACAATATTATACACATAATAATAATAAAAATGAACAAAAGCATTGTTTTCTTTTATTTTTTTGCTTTTGAGAATGCAAAACGTTTGATTTAAATAATGTAGTAAAACAAGTGTCCACGCCCAGAAAAAAAGTCTGCCAAGAACTGCAATAACTCACATCTGGTCTCACAGTCTCCGGTCTCTCTCAGTCTCACAGTCTCACGGTCTCACAGTCTCTGGTCTCACAGTCTCTGGTCTCACAGTCTCTGGTCTCACAGTCTCTGGTCTCACAGTGCCTTGTGTTGCTGCTGTGTGTGTTGCTGCTGCTGTAGCTTCCGGGCCTTAGTCCACGTCCCTGAGTGGGGTTAATGCAGTTAGTTATGAACTAGCACAGTTTAGTTTGTTTGTGGAGGCCTCTGTTGGAGGGAACTTCCTTTTTACAGGTCACTGCATGAAAGAGCTTTGTCAGATGTTCTGATTCACTGCAGGACTGACCTGGAAGTTTGCCCACAGTTCTCTGGACACTTCCCCACACCTGTTTTTAATCGGGAGCATAAATTGGGGGCGGGCACTGCGGAACAGGAGAGGAAAAGGACGAAGGCCAAGGAGAACGGCAGAGCAGGACACGGGACCGGGCCAAGGAGGAGCGCCGCCAGCCAGAGCCGCCAGGGGACTGAGGCCAGCGGGGAGACCGGCACCGGCGATGTGCTCGCAGGGCTAGGCCCATGAGGAACATCGTGGCTGGGATGTGCCAGGCGGCGAGAGGCTGGTGAGACTGCGGCCCGTTCCCGGGACAGAGGAGGAGCTTCGAGGACGGCGGGGACCAGTGGACTGTGGGTTCATATTTTTTTAAGGATCCTTTTGGACATATTTTATTAAAATTGTATCCTTTTTTTATATATATTTTTTTTTAACCTTTTATTGATCACACCCGCCTCAGCAGACACTTTTAAACCTGTGACATACACACCTTTCTCTGCCACCTTCGTTTGCACATAGGTCTCTGGTCCAAGTCTCGGCCCGAGAACACCTTAAATGAAGCAGAGTTGTTTCGTACGGCTTTTCTCCAGTGTGAAAGAGCCTCATTTATTGTTAAATTATACAATAACTAAATGATTTAATATTTGTGGATTTTATGAAACAAATCAATATTAACCTTATAAAAAATAAAATGAACATTACAAAAACAAGTTTCTGTTTTAAAGTTTTAAAAAAGCAAATATAAAAGCACTATATTACTAAGTTAAAATTCACATTAAATAGTCGCAGTAAATCCAATTAAAAAGGAAATTCAACTCGGAAACTAATTTGGAAAATACAAACCACTCTCATTGGACGTGACGGGGATAGGGGGCGTGGCCTGGATTCAAATTCAGGACCCAGACCAGGCTCCCTCAGTCCCACTGTAGACCCGGCCTGAGGCAGTCTCGACCAGTCGAAACGTTGCCACTCCACATTAACCTGACCACCAACCGACCTACATACTCAGACATGACCCCGGGTGGGTAACCGTGGCCGCCGTGACCAGCACCTGCAGGGCTGGGAAGGCGGACGTCACCCCCAGATGGAACCGCTTAGATGAGCAGGGTTGAGGACTTACAACGTTGAGCTTGTCCTTTACCAGAGGTGAAGTAAAAATCATGTACGGCTTTTCTCCAGTGTGAAAGAGCCTCATTTTTTTTTCTTTCGCTTCCTCACGACCGTGTAGCGTCATTTCCGCTTCTAAAAAAATAAAAAATAGGTAAGAGAGCTAACAGGAGCATGGATAACGCTACGCTTTTAGAATTCGTTTTTGAAGCCTGAGGTGTTTTCTTTGCGGTGAAGTAACGCCGCTGCTTCTGCTGCTCCTGTTTGTGCCTCTGCTGCAGGAGCTTCCTGGTCTTAGGCCACACTCAGAACTGGTTCTTCTTTTCAGCAATTAGAGCACGTGGTTCAATAACCCCCAGCGTAAGGCAGTTGGAGCGGCTTAAGGCTTCTTGTGCGACATCAAGTGGAAAGTGGAACAGGAAACACATCCACCTTTAAGACCCGGAGATTTTGTTGACAGACGATGACTCCCTTTGAGCCGGATGTCAGCAAACTGGGATTTCATAGCTGTAGCCAAAGCACATGTCGCAGAGTTCATCGTGAGGAAACTCAAAGAACGACCTGCATGACAGGTGTAAATGCTCAGGTCAGACACAGCTGAGACTCGGACTGAAGAAGACCTTACATCTTTTCAACACTACACAGATCCATATGTTCAAATTAACACGGAATATGGCGAATGACGGACCTTGGTTGAAAGATGGCGGCTTCCACGGCACCTGCAGGACCACTGTGGGGGCCGTCAGCAACCAAGGACTCAGGGTGGTCCAGGAGCAGGGAGAGGTTCCACATGGTTCCACATGGTTCCACACCAGGAACATTATCTTTTAGCACAGAACGAGGCTCAGCACCTCGTCAGTCAGGCTCCGATGGACAACAGTCCTACAAATTAAAGTGGATACTTTATTTTCTGCTCTACCAGAGATTAGAGACAAAAACAGTTCTAGCTAAACTAACATTAGCATGTTTGCAGCTAGCGGCTGTAGTTTTTTATCCACAATTTCAGATTAGCAGTAAATGGAAGTCATGCTCTTTATCACATCGTACAGAAGAGAATTGTCTTTTTTTCCACATCACACTGTTGTGGTTTTGAACCAGCTGCAGATGTAAGGTCTCCCTCCTGTGTGAACCAGCTGTAGATGTAAGGTCTCCCTCCTGTGTGAACCAGCTGTAGATGTAAGGTCTCCCTCCTGTGTGAACCAGCTGCAGATGTAAGGTCTCCCTCCTGTGTGAACCAGCTGCAGATGTAAGGTCTCCCTCCTGTGTGAACCAGCTGCAGATGTAAGGTCTCCCTCCTGTGTGAACCAGCTGTAGATGTAAGGTCTCCCTCCTGTGTGAACCAGCTGTAGATGTAAGGTCTCCCTCCTGTGTGAACCAGCTGCAGATGTAAGGTCTCCCTCCTGTGTGAACCAGCTGCAGATGTAAGGTCTCCCTCCTGTGTGAACCAGCTGCAGATGTAAGGTCTCCCTCCTGTGTGAACCAGCTGCAGATGTAAGGTCTCCCTCCTGTGTGAACCAGCTGCAGATACATTTGGCTTCTCTCCATCTTTTCAACACTACACAGACCAACATATTTAAATTAACACAGAATATGGCGAATGACGGATCTTGGTTGAAAGATGGCGGCTTCCACGGCACCTGCAGGACCACTGTGGGGGCCGTCAGCAACCAAGGACTCAGGGTGGTCCAGGAGCAGGGAGAGGTTCCACATGGTTCCACACCAGGAACATTATCCTTTAGCACAGAACGAGGCTCAGCATCTCGTCAGTCAGGCTCCGACGGACTGAAAACTAAACCAAAACCAATCATTTACTTATGACAAGTTCATGGTGGTTCATCTGGGACCGGGCCGTTCACCCTCACACCATGTGGGACCGGGCCGTTCACCCTCACACCATCTGGGACCAGGCCGTTCACCCTCACACCATCTGGGACCAGGCCGTTCACCCTCACACCATCTGGGACCAGGCCGTTCACCCTCACACCATCTGGGACCGGGCCGTTCACCCTCACACCATGTGGGAGGTGTTAAAGTATTCACCTGGAGGATGAGAAGCAGCTCCGAGCCAGACTCTGGACAAATGGTTCACTGATTTTTCTTGCTTCATAATGTACTTTTGAACGTGACAAATGGAGATGCTCTATATCTGTCTGTCACAGTTTTTATTTATTTGCCAACTTGATTCAGTTTGAGCTGGGGTTCACTACGAAGCTCCGTCTGAAGAGCGAGGCTGTTCCCACTCTTGGTCTTCCACGAGCGAGGAAGGAGCTCCCGACGTTGCTGCCCAGCCACGGAGACTTCGGGCGCCACTCTGAGGTGAGTCGGCAAAAACTATGAGTAATAATAATAATGTTGTGTCTGTGTTGGAGACATTTGGTGACGGACTGTAGACTTGTGACCGAGAGGAAACTGTGCAGGTCCGCGGTAGTTAGCGCGGTATATTACCTTACATGGTTTTGTTGTCCAGTGTTAGCGAAGGGGCTAGCTTTTGTAACGAGTTTATGCTGTAACAACGCGATCTCCAGGACATGACTGTCACTTGCGTTTGTTTTTATCTTCCTCACGTCCACGTAGGTGTGCTAATGTAAGGGGATTTATATGGATGTTTTGTTTTGTTATGCCCTGTTATTACCTGGCTAGGACATTTTTATAGCGCACGTGACCTCATCTCCGTCGTATCAATAAGCACTCACAATAGGTCCTCGCCAGGTAACATATTACCCCAATACCATAATATTTAGCAGAAAGCCTGTTTAATAGATGTACAATAGACGTGGGTCTTGGCACACAAGCTTCAAGGTAGTTCTGGGATCATAAACTACTCTGATCAAAACTACAAAGAAACATCCACACTGTAGAAATTAGTCTTACTATACCACTATACAAATAAGTCTTTCCTCCCTTACTACTATTACTTATTACTAATATTATTACTTGTGTTTTCAGCCTAAAGCAACCAGAGAAATGGCCTGTCAGACGAATCCAATCATCAGCAGGCACGCTTGTGTCCAGGCCAATGTTAAGCCCAGCAGGCGCAGCAAAGGTTATTTGTCTTTTATAACAGTCTGTATTATTCACTTGTACAAGAGTTTAATTTGACTTTGGATTCGCTGTTAGATGCTACTGTAACCATTTATTAGTGCTATTAATAATGTGTTTATCTGTGTCCTTTTAAACAGGCTTGCAGGTGCAGGCTCCACATAAGAGCGTCAGCGTTTCCTGTGATACAGGGGCCTTCATGGGAATCCCACTTCCTGAAAGTCCCCGAGCAGCCTCTACACCCTTGAAAAGAAAAAGGTGTGAGGTGTCTGCATCTGACCCCAGCTTCCATCTGAACGACAGTTCTCTGAACTGTTCAAGGTAAAAATTTATGGGGGAAAAGAATGCTTGTGTATTATTTAAAAATATATCTTGGAAAATATTGTATTCTCTTAAATGGTTACATTTGCCTCTTCCTACATAATAGCGCTACAACGGAAGTCCCTCCACACAAAGCCAGAAAGTACATTGTTCATGAGGACCAACTGCTGTCGCTCTTTCAAAAATGTCCTGTCTGCACTCGTCGTTGTACAGTTGAGACAACCACATTGGGCACACTCCTCCGAGTGAAACAGCAGTGTCCAGTCAGCCCATGGTGAAGGATATAGCAGCTGGAAATCTTCAGCGGCTCGTGTTTTGGTCAGATTTCCAAGGTATATAAATAGTCTTATCTGTATTGACAATGTTTCCATAACAGTCAATGGTAATATTACTTTATATTGCATAGTTCCTGAGGGCTTTCAACATTCAAGGACTGTCAGAGCAAACTTTTTACAAGCATCAGGCCAAGCTCCTCATCCCGACGGTCGGCTGGCAGTGGAAGCAGCTACCGGTCGGCCTTTGACACTAGGTGGGGATATGCGTGCTGACTCTCCAGGCAAATCTTTTCTTTATAAACAAAGATTTTTATGCTTTAAATAATAGTTTGCCAGGTGTAAAGTGCATTTCTACAGAACATTCAGCTAAATACACCATGATGAATCTGCAAAGTAACAGCGTCATTGACATCAAACTTATCCAGGTAAACACCACCATGATTACATTTGAACAATTGGGAATCATTTGGTGCATGGCTGGGTAAATAAATAATCCTTCGAGGTAAAAGCGTTTGCTAGTGAAATGTTAGCGAGACACTTTTCCTGTGTCTTTTTGTAAAGTCCTTAGTGCGAGGCTCTTTATTCATCTCTTCACGAGGAATGGTTTCACGATTCGATCGGTTAGAAAACTTAAAACAACACATGCAAAAGGTAGATTCAGACACGCTGCTCTAGTGAACAACGAGCTCTGCGACCACCGTGATACGCATATGTAATGAGGCGGACGTGACGTCAATTGCAAGCAAGCAATTGATGATGTAAAGCCACCTGAAAACAAAAAACTACAGAAAGTGAAATTCAAGGATCAGTTTGAGCCGCTCTCGTCGTGTGTTTCTTTAACATGTTTTTATCCATGCTTTTTAACTCCACCTGGAACAGATCCAGGATCAGCCACAGCTGTTGTTAATGATGGAGACAGAGCAGGTCCAGCCTTCCCTCTGGTCACAGCTGTGTTAGACACTGCACTAATCTACACATATATATTATATATATACACATATACATACATATATATATATACATATGTATGTATTAGTCTTATAATCCTGTCGTGTTGGTCTTGGCTCACAGTTGTAAGGTTTCCCTCCAGTGTGAACGAGCCTTATTTATTTAACGACTCCATCATTCAGTCCTGAGTGACGAGCTGACGAGTCTCAAAGAGCAGAAGACAAACAAAACTACAGTATTTTCAAAACTGGATGGATGGACATCGTCCTACTAGTTTAAGTGGAATTAAACTGAAATTTACTTTATTTTCTGCTCTATCAGAGATTTGGGACAAAAACCGTTCAAGCTAAGCAGCTAATGTTAGCATGTTTGCAGCTAATGTTAGCATGTTTGCAGCTAGCGGCTGTAGTTTATCCATAATTTCAGATTAGCAGTAAATGAAGTCATGCTGTTTATCACATCGCACAGAAGAGAATTGTCTTTTCTTCCACATCACACTGTTGTGGTTTTGAACCAGCTGCAGCTGAAAGGCTCCTGTGTGAACCAGCTATAGTACTGATGTTTCACTGTTCACATGTTTCTCTTCTCCAGTGTGAAAGAGTCTTATTTATTTATGGAAGACGTTCTTCAGTGTGAATTCTCATGTGTAGAAAGCGGAGACTCTCCCACCTGGTCCCACCTGGTCACACCTGGTGCATCAGCCTCTGATCAAAGTGTTGGACTCCAACATGATGTTTCTGGAGGTTAAAGCTCAGAGTCTAAAACACATGAATGTTTGACACAAAGTCCAACATTCAGATTCTAGCTCGTCCAGAGGTTGATGTCAAAATGAGGCTAAACTAAAGGAAACAGACGTACGGCTTCTCTCCAGTGTGAACGGGCCTCATTTATTTGTTTGTTAATGATCTAGAAACAACAGTTTATATTACTCATGTACGATGACTGAGTGACGGTGGATTATTCACACTGAAGCCTCTGAGCGGATCCATGTGCATGACCCTGGTTCTGTTTCTTTTGTCTCATATTAAACTATATATAATAAACATAATGTAAACACATTTGTATGGCTTCTCTCCAGTGTGACAAGAGTCATGTTGTGTTTGGACGATAAACCTGGCTTTGGTCTGACACACGGCTCACACGGACGGTGGTAAGTGGACTGACTGTAAACCGGTCTGAGGTCTGGACTCGGGACTTGGTGCCGGCACTTCCTGCTTCAGGCGACGACGGTGGTTGTTACGACGCAGCTCAGACCGATTGAAAGTCTACAACACCATCAGAATGTTGTGGCTACAGCCGACAAACCACTGTTTACAAAAACACAATATTATACACATAATAATAATAAAAATGAACAAAAGCATTGTTTTCTTTTATTTTTTTGCTTTTGAGAATGCAAAACGTTTGATTTAAATAATGTAGTAAAACAAGTGTCCACGCCCAGAAAAAAAGTCTGCCAAGAACTGCAATAACTCACATCTGGTCTCACAGTCTCCGGTCTCTCTCAGTCTCACAGTCTCACGGTCTCACAGTCTCCGGTCTCACAGTCTCACGGTCTCACAGTCTCACGGTCTCACAGTCTCTGGTCTCACAGTCTCTGGTCTCACAGTCTCTGGTCTCACAGTCTCTGGTCTCACAGTGCCTTGTGTTGCTGCTGTGTGTGTTGCTGCTGTGTGTGTTGCTGCTGCTGTAGCTTCCGGGCCTTAGTCCACGTCCCTGACTGGGGTTAATGCAGTTAGTTATGAACTAGCACAGTTTAGTTTGTTTGTGGAGGCCTCTGTTGGAGGGAACTTCCTTTTTACAGGTCACTGCATGAAAGAGCTTTGTCAGATGTTCTGATTCACTGCAGGACTGACCTGGAAGTTTGCCCACAGTTCTCTGGACACTTCCCCACACCTGTTTTTAATCGGGAGCATAAATTGGGGGCGGGCACTGCGGAACAGGAGAGGAAAAGGACGAAGGCCAAGGAGAACGGCAGAGCAGGACACGGGACCGGGCCAAGGAGGAGCGCCGCCAGCCAGAGCCGCCAGGGGACTGAGGCCAGCGGGGAGACCGGCACCGGCGATGTGCTCGCAGGGCTAGGCCCATGAGGAACATCGTGGCTGGGATGTGCCCGGCGGCGAGAGGCTGGTGAGACTGCGGCCCGTTCCCGGGACAGAGGAGGAGCTTCGAGGACGGCGGGGACCAGTGGACTGTGGGTTTTCATATTTTTTTAAGGATCCTTTTGGACATATTTTATTAAAATTGTATCCTTTTTTTATATATTTTTTTTTTTAACCTTTTATTGATCACACCCGCCTCAGCAGACACTTTTAAACCTGTGACATACACACCTTTCTCTGCCACCTTCGTTTGCACATAGGTCTCTGGTCCAAGTCTCGGCCCGAGAACACCTTAAATGAAGCAGAGTTGTTTCGTACGGCTTTTCTCCAGTGTGAAAGAGCCTCATTTATTGTTAAATTATACAATAACTAAATGATTTAATATTTGTGGATTTTATGAAACAAATCAATATTAACCTTATAAAAAATAAAATGAACATTACAAAAACAAGTTTCTGTTTTAAAGTTTTAAAAAAGCAAATATTAAAGCACTATATTACTAAGTTAAAATTCACATTAAATAGTCGCAGTAAATCCAATTAAAAAGGAAATTCAACTCGGAAACTAATTTGGAAAATACAAACCACTCTCATTGGACGTGACGGGGATAGGGGGCGTGGCCTGGATTCAAATTCAGGACCCAGACCAGGCTCCCTCAGTCCCACTGTAGACCCGGCCTGAGGCAGTCTCGACCAGTCGAAACGTTGCCACTCCACATTAACCTGACCACCAACCGACCTACATACTCAGACATGACCCCGGGTGGGTAACCGTGGCCGCCGTGACCAGCACCTGCAGGGCTGGGAAGGCGGACGTCACCCCCAGATGGAACCGCTTAGATGAGCAGGGTTGAGGACTTACAACGTTGAGCTTGTCCTTTACCAGAGGTGAAGTAAAAATCATGTACGGCTTTTCTCCAGTGTGAAAGAGCCTCATTTTTTTTTCTTTCGCTTCCTCACGACCGTGTAGCGTCATTTCCGCTTCTAAAAAAATAAAAAATAGGTAAGAGAGCTAACAGGAGCATGGATAACGCTACGCTTTTAGAATTCGTTTTTGAAGCCTGAGGTGTTTTCTTTGCGGTGAAGTAACGCCGCTGCTTCTGCTGCTCCTGTTTGTGCCTCTGCTGCAGGAGCTTCCTGGTCTTAGGCCACACTCAGAACTGGTTCTTCTTTTCAGCAATTAGAGCACGTGGTTCAATAACCCCCAGCGTAAGGCAGTTGGAGCGGCTTAAGGCTTCTTGTGCGACATCAAGTGGAAAGTGGAACAGGAAACACATCCACCTTTAAGACCCGGAGATTTTGTTGACAGACGATGACTCCCTTTGAGCCGGATGTCAGCAAACTGGGATTTCATAGCTGTAGCCAAAGCACATGTCGCAGAGTTCATCGTGAGGAAACTCAAAGAACGACCTGCATGACAGGTGTAAATGCTCAGGTCAGACACAGCTGAGACTCGGACTGAAGAAGACCTTACATCTTTTCAACACTACACAGATCCATATGTTCAAATTAACACGGAATATGGCGAATGACGGACCTTGGTTGAAAGATGGCGGCTTCCACGGCACCTGCAGGACCACTGTGGGGGCCGTCAGCAACCAAGGACTCAGGGTGGTCCAGGAGCAGGGAGAGGTTCCACATGGTTCCACATGGTTCCACACCAGGAACATTATCTTTTAGCACAGAACGAGGCTCAGCACCTCGTCAGTCAGGCTCCGATGGACAACAGTCCTACAAATTAAAGTGGATACTTTATTTTCTGCTCTACCAGAGATTAGAGACAAAAACAGTTCTAGCTAAACTAACATTAGCATGTTTGCAGCTAGCGGCTGTAGTTTTTTATCCACAATTTCAGATTAGCAGTAAATGGAAGTCATGCTCTTTATCACATCGTACAGAAGAGAATTGTCTTTTTTTCCACATCACACTGTTGTGGTTTTGAACCAGCTGCAGATGTAAGGTCTCCCTCCTGTGTGAACCAGCTGTAGATGTAAGGTCTCCCTCCTGTGTGAACCAGCTGTAGATGTAAGGTCTCCCTCCTGTGTGAACCAGCTGCAGATGTAAGGTCTCCCTCCTGTGTGAACCAGCTGCAGATGTAAGGTCTCCCTCCTGTGTGAACCAGCTGTAGATGTAAGGTCTCCCTCCTGTGTGAACCAGCTGTAGATGTAAGGTCTCCCTCCTGTGTGAACCAGCTGCAGATGTAAGGTCTCCCTCCTGTGTGAACCAGCTGCAGATGTAAGGTCTCCCTCCTGTGTGAACCAGCTGCAGATGTAAGGTCTCCCTCCTGTGTGAACCAGCTGCAGATGTAAGGTCTCCCTCCTGTGTGAACCAGCTGCAGATGTAAGGTCTCCCTCCTGTGTGAACCAGCTGTAGATACATTTGGCTTCTCTCCATCTTTTCAACACTACACAGACCAACATATTTAAATTAACACAGAATATGGCGAATGACGGATCTTGGTTGAAAGATGGCGGCTTCCACGGCACCTGCAGGACCACTGTGGGGGCCGTCAGCAACCAAGGACTCAGGGTGGTCCAGGAGCAGGGAGAGGTTCCACATGGTTCCACACCAGGAACATTATCCTTTAGCACAGAACGAGGCTCAGCATCTCGTCAGTCAGGCTCCGACGGACTGAAAACTAAACCAAAACCAATCATTTACTTATGACAAGTTCATGGTGGTTCATCTGGGACCGGGCCGTTCACCCTCACACCATGTGGGACCGGGCCGTTCACCCTCACACCATCTGGGACCAGGCCGTTCACCCTCACACCATCTGGGACCAGGCCGTTCACCCTCACACCATCTGGGACCAGGCCGTTCACCCTCACACCATCTGGGACCGGGCCGTTCACCCTCACACCATGTGGGAGGTGTTAAAGTATTCACCTGGAGGATGAGAAGCAGCTCCGAGCCAGACTCTGGACAAATGGTTCACTGATTTTTCTTGCTTCATAATGTACTTTTGAACGTGACAAATGGAGATGCTCTATATCTGTCTGTCACAGTTTTTATTTATTTGCCAACTTGATTCAGTTTGAGCTGGGGTTCACTACGAAGCTCCGTCTGAAGTGCGAGGCTGTTCCCACTCTTGGTCTTCCACGAGCGAGGAAGGAGCTCCCGACGTTGCTGCCCAGCCCCAGACTTCGGGCGCCACTCTGAGGTGAGTCGGCAAAAACTATGTGTAATAATAATAATGTTGTGTCTGTGTTGGAGACATTTGGTGACGGACTGTAGACTTGTGACCGAGAGGAAACTGTGCAGGTCCGCGGTAGTTAGCGCGGTATATTACCTTACATGGTTTTGTTGTCCAGTGTGTTAGCGAAGGGGCTAGCTTTTGTAACGAGTTTATGCTGTAACAACGCGATCTCCAGGACATGACTGTCACTTGCGTTTGTTTTTATCTTCCTCACGTCCACGTAGGTGTGCTAATGTAAGGGGATTTATATGGATGTTTTGTTTTGTTATGCCCTGTTATTACCTGGCTAGGACATTTTTATAGCGCACGTGACCTCATCTCCGTCGTATCAATAAGCACTCACAATAGGTCCTCGCCAGGTAACATATTACCCCAATACCATAATATTTAGCAGAAAGCCTGTTTAATAGATGTACAATAGACGTGGGTCTTGGCACACAAGCTTCAAGGTAGTTCTGGGATCATAAACTACTCTGATCAAAACTACAAAGAAACATCCACACTGTAGAAATTAGTCTTACTATACCACTATAAAAATAAGTCTTTCCTCCCTTACTACTATTACTTATTACTAATATTATTACTTGTGTTTTCAGCCTAAAGCAACCAGAGAAATGGCCTGTCAGACGAATCCAATCGTCAGCAGGCACGCTTGTGTCCAGGCCAATGTTAAGCCCAGCAGGCGCAGCAAAGGTTATTTGTCTTTTATAACAGTCTGTATTATTCACTTGTACAAGAGTTTAATTTTACTTTGGATTCGCTGTTAGATGCTACTGTAACCATTTATTAGTGCTATTAATAATGTGTTTATCTGTGTCCTTTTAAACAGGCTTGCAGGTGCAGGCTCCACATAAGAGCGTCAGCGTTTCCTGTGATACAGGGGCCTTCATGGGAATCCCACTTCCTGAAAGTCCCCGAGCAGCCTCTACACCCTTGAAAAGAAAAAGGTGTGAGGTGTCTGCATCTGACCCCAGCTTCCATCTGAACGACAGTTCTCTGAACTGTTCAAGGTAAAAATTTATGGGGGAAAAGAATGCTTGTGTATTATTTAAAAATATATCTTGGAAAATATTGTATTCTCTTAAATGGTTACATTTGCCTCTTCCTACATAATAGCGCTACAACGGAAGTCCCTCCACACAAAGCCAGAAAGTACATTGTTCATGAGGACCAACTGCTGTCGCTCTTTCAAAAATGTCCTGTCTGCACTCGTTGTTGTACAGTTGAGACAACCACATTGGGCACACTCCTCCGAGTGAAACAGCAGTGTCCAGTCAGCCCATGGTGAAGGATATAGCAGCTGGAAATCTTCAGCGGCTCGTGTTTTGGTCAGATTTCCAAGGTATATAAATAGTCTTATCTGTATTGACAATGTTTCCATAACAGTCAATGGTAATATTACTTTATATTGCATAGTTCTTGAGGGCTTTCAACATTCAAGGACTGTCAGAGCAAACTTTTTACAAGCATCAGGCCAAGCTCCTCATCACGACGGCCGGGTCTTGGTAGATTTGCAGTGGTCTGATACTCCTTCCATTTCAATATAATTGCTTGCACAGTGCTCCTTGAGATGTTTAAAGCTTGGGAAATGTTTTTGTATCCAAATCCGGCTTTAAACTTCTCCACAACAGTATCTCGGACCTGCCTGGTGTGTTCCTTTGTCTTCATGGTTCTCTCTGTGTTTTAAACAGAACCCTGAGACTATCAAAGAGCAGGTGCATTTATACGGAGACTTGATTACACACAGGTGCATTCTATTTATCATCATCAGTCATTTAGGACAACATTGGATCATTCAAAGATCCTCACTGAACTTCTGGAGTGAATTTGCTGCACTGAAAGTAAAGGGGCCAAATAATATAGCACGCCCCACTTTTCAGTTTTTTATTTGTTAAAAAAGTTTAAATTATCCAATAAATGTCGTTCCACTTCACGATTGTGTCTCACTTGTTGTTGATCCCTGACAAAAAATTTAAATTGTATATCTTTATGTTTGAAGACTGAAATGTGGCGAAATGTTGAAAGGTTCAAGGGGGCCGAATACTTTCGCAAGGCACTGTATGTACATTTTGCTGGTAGCATTAGCATTATGACATTAGCATTAGCACATTAGCAATGCACTTTTTTGTTTACATCCAAACATGATACATATTGACGGGGAGGAAAATAGTGAAAAATGCAACTGACATCTAAGATAAGAGATCTTTGATTCGTGGCACAGTGGGGAAATTTCAATGTTGCAGCGCACAGACAGGCCAGTAGTAAGAGACACATTTGACTTGTGTCGTTGTCCTCTAAATAAATGAATGGAAAGAAAATAAATACAACCTTGCGATTGATTTATCTTGTAAAAAGTGTACTTGGATGGCTCCCAGTCCTTGTGGTTAATTACCGCCATCATCGTCCTCCGTCTTCATGACAAGCAGGTATCAGACAAAGAGACACATTTGGCTTATGTCCTGTTAGAACAACAGACCGCACTGCACAAAATCACAGTTTTGGCTGTAATTCAGTGAAACAGGTTGTTTGGTCAGGTTTCCGTAGACTCGCAGTTTGACTTCCGCCATCTGTCATGGAGAGTGGGCGTGGCCGGGACGTCACATGCAAGGGGTCAATTGCTTGCTTGCAATTGACGTCACGTCCGCCTCATTGCATATGCGTATCACGGTGGTCGCAGAGCTCGTTCACTAGAGCAGCGTGTCTGAATCTACCTTTTGCATGTGTTGTTTTAAGTTTTCTAACCGATTGAATCGTGAAACCTTTAATGGATACTTTAGGATTCCTCGTGAAGAGATGAATAAAGAGCCTCGCACTAAAGACTTTACAAAAAGACACAGAAAAAGTGTCTCGCTAACATTTCACTAGCAAACGCTTTTACCTCGAAGGATTATTTATTTACCCAGCCATGCAGTCACAATGCTCTGTTATTACATCCTCATTTTTATGTAATTTTAAATAAACACTGTGAATGTTTGACCTGAAAAGAACACAGCCACAGACGCAGTGTTCTGTTGAGAATGATAAGTTCATTCACCAATCGTTACTCACACGGCTGTGTACGATGCAGGATGTGTCCTTCAGGACCTTAACTCTGAGTTCTTAAACCCACAGACAGACGGAAAAGTTGCAGCCTCCATGTTTATCCAAACCTTCAGTTGTTTAGCAGTGCAAAAGCTTGATGGTAACACTAGCTGTGGATTAGAATCTAAAGTGAAGAAAAAGACAGTCTAGGATCTTGTCTTTAATTCAGACAGAATTATTATTTATTGTCGATGGTAGATGCATAAACAAAGACGTTACAGAATGTAAGTGACATACAGCGGAGGAATGGAGACTTATTAGCATTATTAGCATGTTAGCATTCGCCGCGGTGCCAGTAGCTTTAACCTTGAAATTACTAAAACATGTATTGGAAAAATTCTGCCTTGAGCATATTATTAGAATGATGAGTTAGAACGTGAGAATCAGCACCTCCAAATCCGAGGCCATGGTGCTCGACCGGAAAAAGGTGCCTTGCCCTCTCCGGGTGGGTGGAGAGGTCCTTCCTCAAGTGGAGGAGTTAAAGTATCTCGGGGTCTTGTTCACGAGTGAGGGAAGGGTGGAGCGTGAGATTGACAGGCGGATCGGTGCAGCGTGCGCAGTGATGCGGTCGCTGTATAGCCGTGGTAAAGAGGGAGCAGCGTCTGCAGTCAGAGCTGTATCGGACCGTTGTGGTAAAGAGGGAGCTGAGCCGAAAGGCAAAGCTTTCAATTTACCGGTCAATCTTCGTTCCCTCCCTCACCTATGGTCATGAGCTTTGGGTAATGACCGAAAGAACAAAATCGCGGCTACAAGCGGTCGAAATGAGCTTCCTCCGCAGAGTGGCTGGGCGCTCCCTTAGAGATAGGGTGAGGAGCTCAGTCAGACGGGAGGAGCTCGGAGTAGAGCCGCTGCTTCTCCACGTTGAGAGGAACCAGTTGAGGTGACTTGGGCATCTGTTCCGGATGCCTCCTGGACGCCTCCCTGGGGAGGTGCTCCGGGCACGTCCCACTGGGAGGAGGCCCCGGGGAAGACCTAGGACACGCTGGAGGGACTATGTCTCCCAGCTGGCCTGGGAACGCCTTGGGGTCCCCCCGGACGAGCTGGAGGAAGTGTGTGTGGATAGGGAAGTCTGGGCGTCTCTGCTTAGACTGCTGCCCCCGCGACCCGGCAACGGATAAAGCGGAAGAAAATGGATGGAGGAGTTAGAACGTTCACCACAGTAGCTTCAAAGTGTCATGAAATATCCAAAAATGCAAAAAAAATACTCGGTAGAGTCGCATTTTCTCCACATCAGCAGCAACTCTTGCTGTCCTGACACCACTTTGTCAACCGGAAGTTTGTGTGTCACGTGATTGCAAGCCAAGAATACCATGAACTGCTGTGGTCCGGAGCGACGGCCTCACCCTGGAACACAAACATGAATTGCTTCAGTAACTTAAAATTAATGTAATGTTAAGTTACACTCCGTTCAATCATCATTTCCTGCATGTAACGTCTGGGTCTGGTCCCTGTGTTGGCGAGTACAATCGGTCGTATTTCGACCGGCTACTCAGAGAGCGCGGAAGGCGGGTGTAGCGTCCAGTTGAGTTTAAAGTTGAAGTCAGAACTGATGGTTAAAATGAAGTTTATTTTGTCCTTCCATATTTTCATATAACCAACGTAAGAGCTAGAACAGAAATGAAAATCAACTTACAATCATGTCCAAATACTATCTAGCATCAAATACATCGTTAACCGTTACATTACTTTTGCTATTTTATTTTACACATTTAAAGAAACTTTACAATTGTTACACAAATAAAATCAATCCGTATCTTGTTCCCTCAATCTCAACTGTAGCTAAACTTTCTTTGTCTTTTATGCCATATTAGTGCAGTTTCTTATGACCGTTTGTCTAGACCAGCTGTGTGAAACGTCCATACACTTTAACGTTTCTCCGTCT